CTCGGTGCCCTCCTGCGGGCGCTCGGTGGAGGAGCTCGGCCGCCGACTGTAAGTGCCCGGTCCTCCCCAGGGCGCCGGGTGAGGGCTGGGGAGTCCAGGGGGAGAGGCCACCAGGCTGGGGCGCTGCCCAGGGCTCGCCGCGGTCACTGATGCTCCTCGCCCGGGTTAGAGAGCGGAGAGATCCGCTACCTGCCCGGGGCTGAGCCCGGCTCCTCAAACCCGGCGGGAGAACTGGTTGAACCTCAAGGGGCAACAGGCAAGAGACAAATTTTTTGTGTTTCCATGAGAGGGAGCGTTTTACAGAATCTCCTCTAGGCAAAATCTCCTTTAGTGAAAAAAAAAGGGTTACTTTCAGGACCTGGGAAGATATTGAAACTGTGAAGGTTGCAAGAGACTTAGATAACTCGGAGGAAGCTGAGGGGTCCAGGAGACATATGTCTGTATGCACTCGTACACGTACATACTGCATGTGGGTGACAACGTTTTGTGTGAAAAGCAAAAACTTTACATCTTATTTTATTATGAATGACATAATTTTAAGCATATAAAATGGACCACATTACATAATGTAGGCGTATTATATAATGAGGTAGTAACAACTTTGCAATGGCACAACTCCAACATTGGTATTGATACCATTCAAGAACCCTAGAGTGCTTGATTCCAAAATGAATATTAGGTGTGGAAACTTTTTTTTCCCCCTTGGAATTATTGCTAACAGCTCTTTAATCTGGAGTCAGATATTTGCACTGTAGACTGAAAACTTGTATCTTGGTATTTTCATTTGGTGATTCTTTAAGGATAATTTTGATTTTAAAATAATCATACCTCAAAGCACACCAGGGAAATAACACCATGTTGTGTGACTGAAAAGTTGGAAGGGTGGGCGAGTACACTAGCTTAATAATCCGTTGGACCTAGCAGTTCATTAATGTGTGTAAGACCATCTTTGGGTGATCTTTAAGCTGCACTCTCGGTGTTCAGGGTGGGAAAACCGTAAAGTTTGAGAACTGAGACAAGTTTGCCTCTGGTGAAGGAATTACGGAGAACTTTTACACTAACAATAAAAATAGCAATATCTAATACTTACAATCAAGTTCCTGGTGCTTCCTTGTAAATTCCCAAGGGTGTACAAAAAGGCAACTTTTTATATGTGCCCTTGGTCTATTATTATTAAAGCAGAAAATCCTTAAATGAAATTACTTTAGACATGTCTGAACCTTGGCACCAAAATGAAAATCTATTACGAATCTCCTAAGGCAAATTGTGTAGAACGTTGTGCTGAAGATAAAGCTGCATTGTATTCTTCAAATCAACATTTTGCTGATGTATTTCTGGAAATTGTATTGACTCTTTGCTCATTTTGAAACTTGTATTTAATTCAGTTATGTAAAATCCATATATAAATATAGATGAAGACTAAATTTTTAAAAGCACACTTAAATGCTATATTTATTTGGTCAAAAAATACTGTCTTGGAACAGAGCCAATTTTTTTCTTTAAAGTTGCTTAAGAAATACCTGCTTTCTCTTTTGAGAAACAGTAAATGGGCCATGATTAAATCTACAGTTATGGCATAAAAATAGTGCTAAGTTAGTCCTAAAGGCTATTTTTAACTCTTTCCTTGTTGCACCTTGCAAAAGACACATCAGAAACCATTTAGCAGCCAGAGACTCTGTTATAGTTTTGTTTGTGGGTGAAATACAATATTGCAGTTAAACACTCACACTCAGCAGATGGTTATAAAACTACCACAAAACATTCTTATAGTTAATGGCTAATAGATCATCACATTACAGCCATGGTTTTTCATGGAGGCTGAAATCATCAGCAGATTAAAAGGTTTCATCAAATTATTGCAGCCAAATGGAGTTTAAAAAAGCAAGTCATTACTTTTGCATTATTACCAAGTAACAGTAAATTTTGTGTGCTAGACAAAGCATTAGTCTACTATTACAACAAATCAACCTAGTTTCTTGAAAGAAATTTTAACATATAATCAAATCATATTACTCCCCAATTACTTTTCACACCAAGTATTAGGGAAACTGCTTTAGATGTTTTCTAGCTAAGGGCTAACTTTTAAGGGAGAGGAAACTACTACAACAATAACACTTCCCAGACCATGGCAATGTAGGTTGTGAAACTTCTGGACCTGTGAGTCCAAAAGGACTTTACTTAATGAGTCTAGAGCGTGAGTAAGTTGGAGACCTGAGGACATTCTTGTCCAGATTTATGTGGCTTTCAGCAGGTGGCGGTCTTTGTGTTTAACTTAGAAAGAAAGCGCCAGCAGATTCAGAAACCTAAAACATCATTGACTGATTTGCTTGGGAGCCAGACTGGGTCTATTCCACTTAGTGAAAAGCATAACTTTCGACTGAGTCATTTGGGTTGGAAGGGACTTCTGGTGAGTCATCTTAACTCTAACACCCTAACCCTGACTCTTCCATGTACCACAGAACTTTTCTTCTCAAACCCAGATGCCTTCCTTAGGAGCCTAGCATCAGCACGGGCATGCCATCTCTTCCTGTGCTGAAAACGGAATTCCCATCACTCCAGCTATTCCCTATGCTCCATGAGACCTCCTTAGAAATTTAAACTTCTTCCCTGAAAACTCCCTTGAGAGTGATTTTTTTCAAGGAGAGCTGTATTTTGACTGAATTCAGAGTTATCTGTGTTAAGCATTTCCTCCACATTTTTGCATCTTTTAATAATAATCAAAGGAGACCATGAACATAACATACTTGTTTTTCCATGTTGGGTATGTAATAAATGTCATGTGAACCATTGTGCTATGCAATGTTTACAGACATATAAAGTAACAGACTGTTACTGAGGCCATATTTACAACTTAAGTACTTCAGAATTATCTAAAGTGAAAGCCTCCCTAACTGGAACGTGTTGCCCACCACCCGTGTACATCTAGTTTGTACATGCTAGTCACTTACCCTTGTCTCAGTTAGTGTCTTATTTGGAAAATAAATAGAACACTCCATGGACCTTATTTCTTGTTGACAATAAAGACACTATTATATTCCTGATCCACTAGTGTAGTTGCTCAATCAGAAATTCATTCTTCACAATATTTTAAATGCAGACATCTTTGAGCTAGTAAGTAAATTATGTAACAGCATTTCAGATTTAACATTTAAGAAAGTCTGTGTTTTCTAATATATTAATAATTACCCCTAAAAGGCAGAAAGAATCTTTGTACCCCATGAAAGATGTACTATTTTAATCTGGACAAAGTTGTGCCATATTGTGCTTTTTATAAAACAGAGGATAGAATGATCACTCCATTTCCCATGAGAACCATCCTGGGACAGAGCAATGCCTGAGTTAGGAAGGCACCATGACTCACAGTTGACAGGCTAGCCAGGATGACAGGCATATATGCCAGTCAGAGGAGGCATGAGCAACGGTGGCTTGATTAGAACAGACCAACTGTTAAAAGTTTTGACCCCAAGTTAAGCTAGAATAGGCTGTATTATACATTTGGAGAACAGTACAGATGGGTGGCTATCTGCCAGGAATTGAGAAAATAATAAAAGCTCCAAATAGTATGATTGATCACGCCTAAGAACTTCTTTCTTTAATGTGACATTTTGCTAAAAGATACTTATTAAACTGCAATACTTATAATACTTGCAAGTATATCAGTCCTATTCTTTAAAAATGTTATTAGACAATATAAATCTGTTGTAGCAAAGCCTCCAATTTGTAGGTTATTAAAAGTTTCCAGGATACTAACTACTGCCACAAAGTAAGTGAATTTTAATCTAGTCACATGTGGCACCTTCAAAAAGGAAGAGAGACTCCTTCATGCCTCATTTAAACCAGGCTCCTGTTAAATTCCTTTCCATTAAGTCATGTCTTTTTTGCACAAGCTTCATGGCTTAAAGTCAGTGCACACGCTAAAATGCTGAAAGGAAGCTGGTATTCTGGCTATAAGGTCCGGAGGAATAATGACTGTGTTTTCATGCCTTACCCTTCTGGGACTCACAATATAACTAGACAGTCTCTCCTTCCCCCAGTGATAATCCAGACTAGGAATCCTGGTTCGTTATTCTGGTGATGAAAATGTACTTCTTGGGACAAGCTTGGTCTTCAAGGAAACTGATAAATTGCTGTCCATTTGCCCCTTGCCATGGTGCCTACCACAGTCTCTTTATGCCCTTCCTTTCTTGTTTCCTCAACATACACTTCAGCTTCAGCAAGAGAAAGGGTTGAGGAAGTCAAAACACAATCTTGGTTTTAGAATCAAAAGACTTCGTCTTTGGAGCCTGGTTCTGCCTGTTCTCATCATGTGAGCAAGTGTGAGGCCTTTAATCTCTCTGAACCTCACTTTCCACATCTGTAAAATGAGGAGAGTGCTATTTATTATTGTCGTATTTCTCTGAGGAGTTAAAGTTGTATTAATGAAAGTAATGAGACCAGATAAATCTATCGTAGTGTCAGGTGAATGACAATATGTGGGATGCAGCCCTGTGAAATACCTTCAGATACTCTTTTTTAATTTTATTTTTTTAAATTTTTGGCTGCATTGGGTCTTCGTTGCTGCGCACAGGCTTTCTCTAGTTGTGGCGAGCGGGCTTCTCATTGCAGTGCGCGGGCTTCTCATTGTGGTGGCTTCTCTTGTTGCGGAGCACGGGCTCTAGGCACGCAGGCTCAGTAGTTGTGGCTCGCGAGCTGTAGAGCGCAGGCTCAGTAGTTGTGGCACACGGGCTTAGTTGCTCCGTGGCATGTGGGATCTTCCCGGACCAGGGCTCGAACCTGTGTCCCCTGCATTGGCAGGTGGATTCTTAACCACTGCACCACCAGGGAAGGCCCCTTCAGATACTTTTGAAAATGAGCCACTTTGGAGGGTTGTTTCAGTGGTAGAAATTGGAGTTAGGTGCAGCATAGTTGTAGCAGACATATGACTGATTCATGTATGCAATACTTAAATTTGGTTAATAAATACACACAGAATAATACAAGAATGCATGAATGGACATTGAAGCAAGAGTTGGGGTGTTATCTAAAAGAATTGATAGAGAATTAGTTTATTCTTTTTCACTATATTTGTATTAGAGTTTTGTTTAAATAGGAAAATCATATTTGTTTCTAGAGATATTTTTAAGACAAAGAACAAATAGAAAAGTGAATTTCTCAGTTAAGTACTAAGGATATTACCCTCTGAAATTCTAAATTAAAAAAAAAAAGACGCACAGATGAAATAGAATGATCTCACTTAATTTAAACACTCAAAGTCATTTTAAAGAGACCACCCACTACTTTACAGAAAATTATGTATGCTCTCTCTGACAGCTGGCCTTCAAATATAGGTTCTTGGTAGCCCATAGTCTAATATCAATCATGTTCAAATTCAGTCTGTTAGGTGGTTTCCTAGACAGGCTTCACAGCTCACTTCATCCTTCAGTCTTTGTTTGCTTTTACTAGTAGAGCTTGCTCTTCTTTGAGATTCAGTAGTAGTATTATTTTCTCAAGTGGGGAGCAGTGTGCGTGTATGCACGCCTGCTCATGCACAAGTATGTCTGGCGTGAGTCCTCAGGTGAAATCAGCCACCTTTTTATTTCCCAGACTAGGACACCTGGATTTATTTCCCCAACACAACTCTGAAAAATGTGGGAAAAAAAGCCCAGTGATTTCTGTCCCATTTCTTTGAATAACTGAATCATAATATTTTAAATTGAGAAGACAGCATAGAAATCTCAGAATCTGATCCTTTCCTTTTAAACAGACGGGGCCCCTGAGGCCCAATAACGTTCATATTCTCACCAAGGTCACCGACCTAGGGAGCCGTATAGCTGAGGCTGGAGCTGGAGCCGGAGCCTCCTAACGGCCGGCTCTTCCCTTCCGCTCTCGCCCCTTCCCTGCTCAGTCAGCTTGCAGCTCTCCCAGCTTAGTTTGTATCCTGTATTGGATCAACTAGACAATTTAAAGGGCTTTCCTCAAGTCTTTGTGGTCTCTGCCATCTACTAAAATGTCATTGTTTCCTTCCCCTCCTGTTCTTTTTCCCTTAAAGCAAAAGAGCTGTGTCTGAACACCAGCTTCTCCATGACAAGGGGAAGTCCATCCAAGATTTACGGCGACGATTCTTCCTTCACCATCTGATTGCGGAAATCCACACAGCTGAAATCAGAGCTACCTCGGAGGTGTCCCCCAACTCCAAGCCTGTTCCCAACACCAAGAACCACCCCGTCCGATTTGGGTCTGACGATGAGGGCAGATACTTGACTCAGGAAACCAACAAGGTGGAGACGTACAAAGAGCAGCCACTGAAGACACCCGGCAAGAAAAAGAAAAGCAAGCCTGGAAAACGCAAGGAGCAGGAAAAGAAGAAGCGGCGAACTCGATCGGCCTGGCTGAACTCGGGCGTGGCTGGGTGTTGGCTGGAAGGGGACCACCTGTCCGACATCTCCGCGACATCGCTGGAGCTCAATTCACGGTAAGCGGCTCCCGGGGCCCAAGCCCCTCCTCCGTGCCCCCAGGTGGGGTGTGGAGCCTCTATTCTGCTTTGGCTTGCACAGACCTAGAATCTCCTCCCTATCTGTCCCTCCGTCAATGGCTCCACAATTTAAAAGCTTACAAAACCAAGATGGCTCAGGATACGGCCTGCCTTAAAGCAGTGTGCTCCTAGCCCTTCAACACCCACGGGGTTTAATCACCCTGCTTCTTTCTCCACCAGCAAACCCCGACACCAATCCTTTAGTGCTCTACTAACCCCTTTCATTTTTTTTCATTCAAGCTTTAGAAGTTACTGCACCTTCACCATTTGTTAGAGAAATGTATTGATTTCCCCCACTCACACCATGTCAAACTTTGATTGTTTTTTCCTTCTTTCTTTCTTTCTTTTTTTCACTCCAAGGGAGAACACAGAAGGCTTTGATATAACCTGCAAACACTACAGAAAAATATCTTACCATAAACAGTTCTCAGCCGTCCACATTTTTTAATTTAAATTTACTTAAAATTTAAATATATTTTCATTTAATTAAATTTAAAATTTTAAACACAGACTTTAAATTTATTTAATTAAATTTAACTCTGGTTTCTACCAGTTCATGAAACAAAAATCATGATTTCTGAAAATTTTTAAGTATAGACTTGATTATAAGATATAAGTTTTTCTCATGTATCTGTTTGTCCACTGCAAGTTGAAATACTTCCTCTAGGGTATTATAGTAGGAATAATAAAACCACATCTATGTGGCTTGTTTATTCTTAGCTCACAGATGCTCATATGCACAGACTTTGGAGCCAAAACCCTTAGGTTCAAGTCTTGGGTCTAAACTTATTAAAGCTCATAACATTGGGCAAGTTCCTTGGTCTTTCTAAGACTAACTCCCCTCTTCGGTGAAATAAAGATGGTACTTGTGCCAACCACACTGGGTCAGGTGAAGATTAAGTGAGATTACATGGAATTATTTGGGTGCTTTTAGATTTCGTTCTGGTTGTACCATCCATCCATCCATCTATCTATCTATCTATCTATCTATCTATCTATCTATCTACCTACCTACCTACCTACCTAGGTGTGTTTCTGTGAGGCAAAAATGGGGCAAGTATTAATCTCATTTTATAAAATAGAAAACGAAGGCCTTCCACAGTTAAGGCAGCTGAGCAGACCCGGGAACTGGGATAGGCTGTCCTCAGAACTGCCTTTATTTCATTTCCTGACGCTTAGGCCAGCGCCATGTTAGCACTGCTCTTTACCCCTGCATTTCTGCTGATAGGATCTCTTTTGGTTTTTACTTTTCAGTACAGCCCTTCTGTGGGGTTTGAAAGAAAGAGGAAAGCAACACAAGAATGCATCAAATGCAGTAATGATCTCATTATTTAAAGAGTCCCCTGTTACTTCTCCAATCCTTTCCCCTGACTGATAGAGATAGGATGACAGAGTGATGTTTCAAAGGGGATTTTGAACCTTATTACCATCACATCTATCTTCGAGTTACGTTGACAAAACCCATCATTAAATAGCATATAAATAATAGTTATACTGGCTAAGTAGTACAGCTTCAGTAATCAATGGGCAGTGGCACTAGAGGAATCTTCAGCATAGTAAATGATCTATTCTGCAGATATCTAATGGATCTATAAGGGGTAACAAACCCCATAAATCTTGGCTTAATGCACATATTCAGCGTATTTTAAGATATGATCCTAATTGTACATATTTATAACTAATGCAAAGGTTTTACTTTATTGCCAGAACCTATTTTTATCCATTATATATATATATATATATATATATATATATATGTTATAAAAACAGAAGTAGAAATACTTTTTAATAAATTCTATTCATTTAAAATTTGCAATGCTCTTAAATATCTGGAGAATTGAAAACCAGCCCTCATCAATTCTTATCCCAAAGGTGTCTCTAAGTTAAAGCAGATTTAGTAACCGTATGCTAACGCACATATATGGAATCTAAAAAAACTGTACTGAAGAACCTAGGGCCAGGACAGGAATAAAGACACAGACGTAGAGAATGGACTTGAGGACACAAGGGGGAAGGGGAAGCTGGGACGAAGTGAGAGAGTGGCATGGACATATATACACTACCAAATGTAAAATAGATAGCTAGTGGGAAGCAGCTGCATAGCACAGGGAGATCAGCTCGCTGCTTTGTGACCACCTAGAGGGGTGGGATAGGGAGGGTGGGAGGGAGGCTCAGGAGGGAGGGGATGTGGGGATACATGTATACATATAGCTGATTCCCTTTGTTGTACAGCAGAAACTAACACAACATTGTAAAGCAATTATACTCCAATAAAGATATTTTAAAAAATAGATTTAGTAAAAATTAGGCAGTACCCTAATCAAATCCAGACCTAGGACTGAAAAAAGTAGAATACTTCTGCTTCTCCTTTCTGTTCCCTGGTTCTGAGGGATGTTCATGGAAAGCACTGTTCATTTGGCAGCCAGATGTTGGCATTCTCCCAATACAATGCAATACAGGTGGAGGGAAGAGAGGGGAAATTCAGGAGTGGACTGATGAGAACAGATGGG